TTGAAGCTACATGGTTTGAGCTCGCCATTCACTTCCTTTTCTACCTTGCACATTGCCGATTTCTTCTTTGCTTTTCCCAAAAGCCCAAATTTGGGCTTTTCAAATTCAAAAGTAAAGACGTCATTGAGCTCCTTTTCCATAAATCGGCTATCAATCATGGGGGGCAGATTTGATTTTTTTTTTTGAAGCCATGGCCAAATCTTCTTGTGCTGCTACCGCATCCAAATGTTTTTTGTTATTATCTTTGAAAAGCAATGAACAAAAGCATTACATTTTTTTATAATGTACCTGCTTGTGATATCTTAACCACTTAAGGTACTTCGAATTTATTTTGGATTTTCTGTACAAAAATGATCGCATTTTCTTTTTACACAAAATTATTATTAAAGTATATTTTAATATTTTAACATGTTTCTTGCAGTTTTAATGAAGAAGTATTTTAATATACATCATTATTATAAATTTTTATTTATAAATTGCAAGTTAGTTTTTCTTATGAAATTTTGCAGTAAAAATATTTGAAATATTTTCCAAGTTTTAATATAGATATATCGATGAAATTTAGTATGTGCCGTAGCGTTAGTACATGCTATCGCTGTTCTACAACATTAATTGTTGGGAAGTAACGAGGCTACACGTTACAAGGTTGAAAATAAACTTTAACGGGAAAGCGGATTCAAATTGCAAGCACAGTCCTTTTAGTAAAGAGAGCAAATTTTCGGAAATATGTTTTTGCTACATCAGCCTGAATAGACTATACAAGATAGAGCAAATAACAGGTTCTATCTTGTATAATGTTTCCAGCCTGATGAAGGAAAAACATATTTCCGAAAATTTGCTCTCTTTACTAAAAGGACTGTGCTTGCAATTTGAATCCGCTTTCCTGTTAAAGTTTATTTCCAACGTTCTATTATACAACATCATTCAAATAAAATTATTTAAACTACAGGCGTCGTGAACTGAGGGGACTGGGCCAATTTTATTTAATATTTTTTACATCTTTGACTATTTAACAAATACAACCCTGGAATATGATTTAATGCTAAAACATGCATTAAAATGGTACTCTTAATTTATTTTGTATAATTAACAGTTTCCGAGAAAACTGCTTAAAATTTTTTATCTGCTTAGATGCTTAGAATGATACAAACAATCTTACTTATTACTTATTTTTCAACTTTGGAATCCTAAATTTTAAATGTAATAATAAATAACCAAAAATTATTAACTTATTACGGAACATAATATTACCGCTCGTAGCCAGGGGCAGTTGACAACAAGCCTTTCTTGAAATATGAAATAAAAATGACCAACCACCAGTTCGGGATGCCTATGGTTTAAATAATTTTGGATAATGTAATATGGTAGCACATACTAACACTAAGACACAGACATAATTTCATTACTTTATATTAAAGCGTTTTTGAGATATTAATCAGAAATTAACTTTTCATCACCTCCTTGAAGGGACTGTAGTTCCCTTAGGAAGAATTTTAGGACACGTGTTCACAGAAACGTTTTTTCTTAAAATAACCTAAGGATTCACCCCCAAAGTTGTGTTGGACATTTTCCAATCACTCTGGATATATCACAAAAAACCCTCCTAATGTATGCAAAAATGTTTACTGTATATTTATATGCCTGCTGCACACGACTTTTTCAGTAAATTTAAAATTACAAACAACGCTACCAAAAGACCGTTGAACAGATGACATATAAAATAAGTCCGCCAGAGTGATACGGGAGCATGTACAAATGAACAAATGTACCGGTAAGGGGAGCCCGTGTGAGAAATGAGCTTAAGTGATTAATATCTCTTGCGATATCTTAATATATCAATAAACAAAAACATTATTTTTTTTGCAATATACCTGTTTGTGATATCTTAAATGTTGTGTCTTGCGTCACACTTTTCTGTAATCGCAGCACTCAGCGCGTCTCATTGATCAACCCTTACAAAAGAAGTATCAACACATACTAATCTAGCTATCTAACTAATCTACGCGAGTACGTACTCGCCTAACCTTGGCACAAGGGTGGGAGCCCACTGCTGGAATCCTGTCTACCATGGCATTATGCTAAACCGCGCTCTCTCCTTCAAGGCACACGTGGAGAAGACATAAGGCAAAGTTAGCACCTGGAACAACATACACCTCTACCCCGATATAATGCTGTCCTTGGGAGCCAAAAAATCTTACCGTGTTATAGGTGAAACCGCGTTATATCGAACTTGATTTGATCCATCGGAGCGCGCAGCCCCGCCCCCCAGAGCGCTGCTTTACCACGTTATATCCAAATTCGTGTTGTATTGGATCGAGTTATATCGGGGTAGAGGTGTACTCAGGAAGCTTGCAAATTCAGAATGGGGAACCAACCCAGGAACACTTAGAGCCCTCACACTTGCACTTTGCTATTCAACGGGTGAATGTGAATGTCTGGTGTGGGAAAGATTGGGTCATGCAAAGAAGTGTACCCTGTGCTGAATAATAGCTGCCTTATATCACAGGATGCCTAAAACCAACAAATGTGAACAGCCTTTATGTGCTTGCCAGAATCGCTCCACCAGATATTGGGAGAATGGTCACAAGCAAAATGAAATGATTATGATAGGTCAAAGATATCAAACATCCTTAATGGCCACACCATGGCAGGTAGACACCTGAAATTGCGGAAAAGCTTCATAGCTGCAACAGTACTGCTTAAAAAATCACCGATGGCTACATGACAGGAAAATGGCACACTCAGCTTGAAATACTTGGAGGACATCAAAATGCACATCTACATTGCTGAACACCTTCCTGCAGGCATGGAGAAGGATTGGTCAACCTGGAGATATTTAAACCACCTCCGAACAAGAGTTAGCATGTCAAAAGTCAATAGGCGGAAGTGGGGCAACCCCCAGACACCTGACTGCACAAACCCTGGAACATCTGTTGGTTTACCAGCTCCTGGAAGAACCATGCACTATGGAAGATCTCAGCAGGGCTACAGACCAGGCCATATCATGTGTCCGACACTGGAAAACCTATGATTGTGGTGGAAGAGCATGAGAAGAAGATTTGTTCCAACAAGCCTTTTCTAAATTTATTTTTTCACCAAACTAAGATGGTGAGGCAGTGACTTTGTTAGGTCAGTGAATGGCTTGACTTACACACTCTTTGTTTTCTTTAAGCATAATAAACTCCCTGTATGCCAAGGCAGTATGTGGAATGTAGATGAATATACAGATAAATAAGTGCAACGTATTACTAGCCTCTAACAATACAGTATTTATGCTTAATTGCATAAACAGGCACAGCCAGAGAACTTCTAAAATACAAGCAAAACTTACTGACAAACCACCATATTAAAAATCCTGAGACACTAATCCAGGGTAGGCAACCTATGGCACGCGTGCCAAAGGCGACACACGAGCTGATTTTCAGTGGCACTCACACTGCCCGGGGTCCTGGCCACCGGTCCAGGGGGCTCTGCATTTTAATTTAATTTTAAATGAAGCTTCTTCAACATTTTAAAAACCTTATTTATTTTACATACAACAATAGTTTAGTTATATATTATAGACTTATAGAAAGAGACCTTCTAAAAACGTTAAAATGTATTACTGGCACGCGAAACCTTAAATTAGAGTGAATAAATGAAGACTTGGCACACCACTTCTGAAAGGTTGCCGACCCCTGTACTAGTCTCATGTTTATTAATTATTATTATTTTATTATGGAATCTGTTTAAATTCCATAACAAAACAAAATACTTTAGTTAGGGGAAAAATCACCCAGTAAGATTCACAAGCTGCCACTGATAAATATAATAAAATATATTTATTGAGCATGGACATCAGTCAAGTCCCTAATGGATCTTTTCCTGGCACTTGTTGCACAAGTATCTGTCACCATGATAAGACAGCTAAGTTCACTTAAAAGGCTCTTTCTGGCTTTGTTTTTAACCCTATCACCTCCCTCTCCCCAGAAAAAAAAAATATTATGTGGGGGGAGGGAGGAAAGGAAGCCCTTTGTCACCATCCACCAGAAATCACCTCATACATGGCTACATACACCCATCACTGATCAGATCAGTATAAAAACAGGAGGCTAAATCTTGCTCTCAACTAGGCCAGTGTAAAGTCAGAGAAATTTCACTGACTTAAACTAAGTTACTTCTGATTTACACTGCGGTAAATGATCTGAATCTGATTTAAATGATCAGGGCAGAATCTGCCCCAGCATGTCCACCAACCTGTGGGAGTCCAATTTTTGGGAATGGCTGTAAAGTGAGCTACAAAATCTGCCAAATTACTGTGGCAGAAATAGATGATTTTTGTGACATTCTTTGGGCAGGCTTACAGCACAATGGTAAAGCTGTGGCCTGGGATGCATAAATGATATAATAAGCATGCAGCAACAGAGTGATGAACAAACCCTGGGGAAACTAGGAGAAGAGGGAATAAAAAATGCATCCCCTGGTTGCAAACTGAGTAATGTGCTGCTGGTGGGAGGAGTGGAATGGAATCTCTCTCTCTCTGGGCGTTTATACCACCTGGTAGGTGTGTGGAGGGGGGAAGAAGGGGAGTGGGGCTAAAGCCCTTGAACAGGGGGCTCTCTGGGATTGTGCTCCCCAGTAGATTTGTGTAGGCATCTGGGTTGTGTTCCAATGCCCATTGGAGTCAGTGGAAATACTCCCATTGACTTCAATGGGCTCTGACTCAGGCCCTGGGTGCAGCTGAAAGCTTTACCACCCCAATCCCTGCTCCAGCACTCTCCGGAGAGGTCCTCCCTGTCCCGCCAACGCCAGCACCGCCCGGCTGGGGGAGGAGCAGTTTAGGGCAGGTCTGCAGAGGCAGCAGGTCACTGACTGCCGGGAGGGAGGGAGGGGGAGTTCCAGCCCCAAGCCGCCCCTTCCCCAGAAGTGACTGGCTGCAAGGCTGCTCTCCCCTCCCCCCGAAGGAGGGGCCGCGCGAAGCCATCCCCTGGAGCTCGCACGCGCGCCCCAGCAGCACCTACTTCTTGCAGGGGATGAGCCCCTTTCTCTCCTCCAGGAGCCGGAGGCGCTGGTTGGGGCCGTCGTAAGACACCACCGCCCTGGTGTTCCTGCCGCTGCTGTGGTCGTAGGCCACCGTGCGCCCCTCCCACTGCAGCGGCGCCTGGCACGGGGTGGGCGGCTGCCCCCGCCCAGCGCGGCCCTGCGGGGCGGTGGCTAGCGGAGCCCCGCCATGCAGGCACAGGAGGCCGCCCAGCAGCAGCAGCAGCCGGGGTTGCCCCAAGCAACCGCCGCCTCGCGCCATCCTCGGTGTCTCCTCTGTCAGCGCGAGCCCGGCGCCCTGAGCCCCACTCCGGAGGCGCTGGTGGGGTGACGGGGGCGGGGAGCAAGCCGGGTGCTGCTGAGGCGCTGGAGCTGCCGCTGCTCGCTCTCTGGCCCCTTCTGCGTCGCTGACTGGGGAGGCGAAGGCGGGTCTGGCTGACTGCGGCAGCGGCAGGCGCGGAGCCAGGGCCCAGCAAATTCTGCAGCTGGGAGAGAGACAGGAGCGGGTGCAATGCTGAGCAAGGGCGGCGGCTCTTTGATCTCTCCCTCCCTCTCTCTCTCCGGCCAGCAGGGACTGCGGAGGCAGAGTGCCGCCTGCAGCCCGCCGGGCATCAATTATTTACACAACAGGCACGATGGGCAAGGATACATACGCCTCCTTCCACCAGCTCCCGCGTGTTCTCTCCCCGTTCATTTCACCTCTTCCCTTATACGTTTCCTGCCACAGGCATTGCGTATGGGATAGCCCCGATTCTGTAGCTGGATGAACATCATTTAATACCAGTGCAATAGGAGGGGAGACATCATCTGATGCCAGTGTCATAGTTGGGTGGCAGCCTATGATACCAATGCCACAGCTAGGAGCGCTGCACCTGAAGTAATACTCTGACTAGAAATACTGGATATTAAGCCTGTATTGATAGCTATTTCATATTCCTCTTTATGTTCAGCCCTGTGAGTTTTCTCCTTGAAGGCTTAATTAAGATAAAAGGGAAGCAAACAATATATATGTTAATGTCATTGCTCAGTTTATAATGATCACATATTTCTTATTCAGCAAAAAAAAAGGGGGGGAGAGACAATACGTGGTTTAAAATACGTTCATGCTCGTGCTCCATATATAAACCAGAATAGGAAAGTAGACACTTTTCAGCAAGGAGCTAAATGGCCACTTGTTTGGGAAGTCGATTGTTTGCTTGCTTTCCATTTGGGCCTTATATTTTTGGTTTGTCTTTGACAAGAGCATCTGTGATATGGAATTTGATTGTGAGCAAATCTGATCACTTTTTCCTCTAAAAAAAGAACAGGAGTACTTGTTGCACCTTAGAGACTAACGAATTTATTTGAGCATAAGCTTTCCTGGGCTACAGTCTACTGTGTTTTGTGCGTGTGTGTGATCAAGGGTTCCTATAAGGCAGTGAACGCACACATTTGAGCATACAATTTTGCCTGCCCCCCAAATTCCTACTAGTCTCAAAGCAGAGCGACTATCTGAAGGACTGGACGCTGCAGACCAATTTTATCATATCGACATATATTCGTGTCGTATTGTCGTGTGTTTGGGGCTCATGGAGGGAGGGAGTTGAAGAATGATCTGCTTAGAGAGACCTCTCTATAATTTTACTTTTGAAGGAAAACATTTCACTTTCCCTGGCACCTGCTCTCCAGTCACTAATACGAGCATCCCCTGTCCCCCAAACATATCCGTTCTTCCCCCATTTGCCTTGGAGATTCCTTGACCTAGGTTTATCGTCTTCTGAGCAGTTTCCTAGAAAAGAGGGTGGGGGGAGGCAACATGGGTTACTAAAGCACACACGGAACTAGAGGTCAGGGCGCTGCTGCTGCTGCTACTACAAACAGGAAAGCACATCAACTGAAAATGCATCTTACAAAATAATCTTAATGAGAGGGGATGGGAAATTGCTACCCTAGGAGGACCACAGTCTGCCCTCAGTTACATCCCCGCTATGCCAGTGACTGCAATATGCCATTGCTCTCATCGGAGTTGCACAGTTGAACTGAGGGCAGAATTTGGTCCCTATTAATCAAGGACGAAATTCAACTGTTTTAAATAGCTGTAAATCCGGAGCAATTCCAGTGAACACTATGGGGTTACTCCTAAATTACACCGATGTAACCGTATAATTTAGTCAAATGAAAGCCTCTGGGTTCGGACTAATGAAAGGGACAAAACGACTCGAATGTGAACGGTCTGCACTGTTTTCTAAAACACTGGCGGCGGCTGGTTTGTGACACAAAGTGCTTTTGAAAAACTTTAAATAATATCGTATCTTCCCCTCCCACCTATTCCTTTGCTGATCCGGTTTATGGGGGGTGGGGTAGTAGGTGGAGATTTTACTAGGGCGAAGTGGGTAGCTAATGGGATTTCTCATAGCAGCAACAGCAGGTGCAACACGACTATTGGCGCTGTGCACTGAGGTTCACTCCAGGCTCGGATCGGCTGCTGCTGCTGTCCCAGCCAAGTTCGTTTCCAGAAAAAGTAATTGACCAGTTTGTATATTTCATGTTTGTTTTGTGAAGTCTAAGTTTCACATGCAGTATCTACCTCTGGAGCCATTGCAGTAACTGCGTAATAGTCAGAATAGACAGAAATAATAGCAACATTTTTTAAAAGCGGCAAAAGTTTCTGTGCTTTGTCTCTTTGAAAATGTAGGAAAAGGGCATAAAGTTCAGTGCTGCTTAAAAGAGTATCGTCCTTGCTCCTATTGAACTTCCCCTCCCTCTCTCTTAATTCTGCGACTGAATTTGCAGACCCGAGGTAGATGAGGGAAGCGCTTTTTTCTCTCTCTCGTCTTGAAAGAATTTATTGCACAGATCAACACTGAATGGCTTGTTGAAATTTATCTTGAGACGCAATGAGAAATTTAGTGATGTCGCCCTGGGATTAAACCGAGTGGAGGTGATGTCACCCTGTCTGAAAAGAAAAACAAACACACACACCAAGTGAACGATGCTGCCAAGAAGAAAGATCAACCCCCACGTCACTTGTGGCACTCGTATAAATATGGCCCTACAATTTCCATGGCTGTCTGTAAGTCTCAGATAGCTTGAACTTTGGAACAAGAGAGAAGCTCTGTGTCTTTTTAGCACTGAGGCACAAGGAAATCTAGAAGTTCATCTTTGCCAGAGGTTTTTATGTGCCAGAGTGATAGGGAACGGGGATAGACCAGCATCTCTTTAGCTCTTTCCACTGAAAGCTGAATGAGCGACAGGATCAGCCTGTGAGACTGATTACCCAAGACTTCGTGAGAGGAAGCAGAGACTGTCCGGAGCGCCAAACGTTAGTCCCGCCGCTAAAGGCTGGGAAAATGCTAGCAACCTTGGCAGCGCTCTTCCTGTGGCTCAGGGTCAGCATGGGGGTGCATGGTGCTCCCTGCGAGGCTGTGCGCATCCCCATGTGCAAGACCATGCCCTGGAACATCACCAGGATGCCCAATCACCTGCACCACAGTACCCAGGAGAATGCCATCCTGGCCATCGAGCAGTATCAGGAGCTGGTGGACATCAGCTGCAGCCAGGTGCTCAGCTTCTTCCTGTGCGCCATGTATGCCCCTATCTGCACCCTGGAGTTCCTCCACGACCCAATCAAGCCCTGCAAATCGGTGTGCCAAAGAGCCCGAGATGGGTGCGAGCCCATCATGAAGAGGTACAACCACAGCTGGCCCGAAAGCCTGGCTTGCGATGACCTGCCTGTGTACGACCGAGGGGTCTGCATATCTCCTGAAGCCATAGTCACCGATGTCCCTGAAGGTGAGGAGGGACCAGTGTTTGTGTGTGTGTGTGGTGGGGGGTACACTAAGGCAGGGCTCATTGGGTAGAGAACCTTGATTATAAGATGGCAATTTTGAATTCAGATTTGTGCCCTTCTTCACCAAGTCTCTGGAAAGCAGAAAGCTTTAATTAAGTGGGTCCCAAAAGCACAGAGCTCCAGAAGCTCCAGCACTGTGTAAGGCAATCTATCTCTCAAATATAACACAGAGGGACAGGTTTTGGCGAGGACTGCAACTAGTCTCTCGGGTAAATGTTTGTCTTTTAAAAAAAAGATTTCTCAGCAACAAACAAACCCAAACAAACAAACAAACAAACAAACAAACAAACCCAAACAAGAAGAGATTGAATTTCCTATGGGCAGGCAGCTTTTCTGAGAACACTGAAAAGCCAGTCTGGGCAGAAGGACTCCAATATCCTCTCCAAGTCTCACTGGTGTTACTAGTCAAAACGAGAGATGATTCAGAGTTAGGCATAAGTGAACATTGAATAGTGATGTTTAAGTACGTCTTTCAAATTTAAATGTCAAATTGGCAGTGCAATACACAAAACTACACACCAGGCTTTTGTCCACGAAGCGAACTAGCAGTCATACAATGATATATTGCAGATTTTATTCCCTTCTTTTAAACAATTTACAGTGCTGTTAAAAAAAAACAAGTATAAGACCTGATGCAGACATATTTTCGAAAATATAGTGAATCAATGTTTTTTAGGAAAGATTAACTATTTTAAATGCTCCCCGAGATGTGTATGCTAGTGAAGTGATTCTGGAAATATCAGAGATGATTTTTTTCGTTTATCTTCTTGTGTTCATTTCTTTTCGGTAGCAAAAACCAAATTCTGTGCAAATTTTATTGTGTATGTTTTTAAATAGATGTGAAGTGGATGGATTTTACTCAAGATGTAATGGTCCAAGAAAAACCTCAAGAGTCTAACTGCAAGAATCTAAACCAGGGTGCGTCTTCGTAAAGGTCCCCCTTTATTTCTCTCGAAAATAATTCTGTAATTGACATTAATTTGTAATTTTTCCTTATGATTTTTTTTTTGAAGCTCGATGCAAGTGCCGGAAGATAAAGCCTACCCTAACAACATACCTGACCAAAAACTACAGCTACAGTAAGTCAACCAGTGAAATAATTTCATTTTCAACTCTTGGCAAAATTTCCCTAGAATCGCACTATCTTCTGGTTCCCTTCCCCTGGTTCTTTTGATATTATCAAATTATTATAGCTCCTCTACTTGTAATCCATGACAAGCCGCATCGTAGGTTTTAAGATTAAATCAATAAATGAATCTTAAAGAATCACTTTTATCTGGCACTTTAAAAGATGTTGCGCCTGAAACCTTATTTTCCCGAAAAACAACAAGAAACAAATATCTAGAACTAACGTGGTCATTAAACTCGCTAAATTGTTGTAGTATTTTTAGAATACAGACCGGTCTAACAAAACGTAGTGGGACAGATTGTTTAACAAAAATGGAGAGGGCCATGTGAGCCGTTTCTAAATTTTCCTGACGTTGTTTAATGCAACTCAGTCTAGTGACAAGTAACAAAATAGCTGGAGATCCTATGAATTGCAATTTTTATTTTGCTATTTCAGCTGGAATAAATTGGAATCTTGATTGATCAAGTAAGCACTATTGTGCTGTTCTCACTCCATGAAATGAGTTCATGTGAAAACAATGAAATGGGAGAAAAATGAAAAGGTTGAAAAGCAACTTTTTTGTTTTATTTAGTCACAAATTAAGTCATAGAATATTTACTATATTTTGCATACTAGCCATTAGAGACCAATGGCCAGATCCTTAACTTATGTAAA